TTGTATTTCTTGTTGCAAATTGTGTTTTGTTATCAAATGGTTATCTCCTCCTTTTCATTTGAGCATGTCATTTGCATTGTATCTGAGACATGGTTGTGGTAAGAGGATGTACTATTTTCGAGGATCGTATCGCGCGCCGCGATAGATATTATATTTCGAGGGACGTATCGCGTGCCGCGAAGGTTACTATTATCGAGGGTCGTGTCATGCGCCGCGACAGATGCATGGACAGATATGTCCCCCATGGGTCCCGGACTGAGAGACAGCGGGTGTGTATCGTTAGGGAAGACATGCATCACTATACTTGACATTGCATCTCATGGCATTACACATTTTATTATTGATGAACTTGAACACGTGTTTTGTTGATCTTGTGAGTGTTTCTCTGTGAAGCTTGTGACTGTTGAATATTGAGTGGTTATTGAGAATGTGTAAACTGATAGAGTGGGTTATTGAGTTGTGTGTTTGGTAAACTGTAAACTATTAGACTGTAGCGTGGAGGTTAGATATGGTGTAAGAAGTGCCCGTATTTTGTTCACTTAACTTGTGTTTAGAGGTTTGCTTGTTGGGTACCGCGTGGTTTGGTACTCATCCCTTGCTTATACAAATTTTTGTAGGATACGAGCCTGGATCTTCATGATACCTGTCATTCTTTTCGTTTTCGAGGCATCTTGTGAAGGATTGTGAGGTAGCTGCTTGTCATCTCAGCGAACTTTCCTACTCTTGTTTTTACTTGAAAGACAACTTCATTTAGACTTCTATTTTGTTTCAATTCTAATTTTTACTTTAAAGACTTGTGCACGTGACTACCTAATTTTGGGGATTGGATTAATATGACTTGGTTTTATAATAGGAATTGTTGTTGGATTGTCATTTACTTGCGCACTTTGTTAGATATTTGGTTTTAGACTGACTTGTCTTGGTGGGATAAGACGAGTGCCATCACACCCATTTTTGGGTCGTGACAAAAATTGATGTCAAAACAATATTTTGAATTGTGACTTAGACAGATAGATATATTTAACTCAACCCAAAGGTTTTGTGGTTCCAGGAGAAGAAAACAAATTATTCAAGCTGAGTAAGTCCTTGTATAGGCTAAAATAGACACCCAAGCAGCGGTATGAAAAGTCTAATATCACACTACTGGAGAGTGATTTTCTTTGCAATTAATCTTATACCTATGATTTTTCCAAAATGATAGGTTAAAATTACATGATTATATGTAGATTACTTGTTAACTTTTGTCTAAAAGTTATTGTTATTGATGAAACTAAGAACTTTGGTCTACTATGTTTGGAATGGAAAATTAGTATGAAGTACATGTAATTTTAGGAATCAAAATTAAAAGAAATATTGATGATTTCTCTTTGTGACAACCTCATTACATTAAAATCAAGTTCAAAAAAATTATTTATTTTGATGTAGTTTAGGGAGATCTCCTTATTATCCTAGCACACAATTGTAATTGAAAAAAGATTCTAGTGTTTCTCCAACAAATATGCTAAAATAATTGGGACTGTAATGCTTATGGTGAACTTTACCTGATATAACTTATGTTGTTAGTATATCAAGTAGATATACTTATAATCCTAGTAGTAGTCATCATAATGCTCTTCGTCGCATCAAAAAAGTTTGTAAAGTTACATTTTTTAGGTTGTGTTGTATATGTGCAGTGACACGTGTTCAAGTGCAGTTAACACCTCTAGTGCACACCCTTGACTGAAGAGATGTGTCTCTTCACACACACTTCAATTCATGCTGCCACAAGAAATATTTTGGGTTTATTTTTTTTTTTTGTCCAAAACAAAAATTTCTGAATGGATATATTTGTAAAACTCCAATTTGAGCCGAGTGACCGACAACAGTAGAACAAGACTAGAAATCTTCTTACTAACTTTAATAACATAGTAGTTATTCGATATTTAATCATTTCAAAGTTCTTTTCTCCCACCAATGTGGAAAAAATTAACATTTTTAGAATAACATTCTTTAACGAAGAAAATAAAAGGTAGAGCAGTACTATTAATAAGAGTATTAGACGAAGAAAATGCATAAAATAAATAGATAATTTTCATGTTAAATTCATGAAGTTCATGCAACAAATTTTTGAACGAGGTAATTTTAACTCACAAATATACTAGAATTTCTTCTATTGTTTTTATTCCCCAAAATTTATGGCTACACAAATCTGTTCCGGCTAAAAATTATAGGTTGTAATACAGAACTGGAGCACTAATGTCTCTAGGATTCTCTTCAGTTCTGGTGCACAAGCTATGTCCTTAGAAATTAAAGGTATCCGTTTCAATACAACTTTCTTGATTCATCTCTCATTGGTGTATTATCAAAGACATCTCGCCTATTCTGGCATCATCAACCCGCACTTGATCATAAATAAAACATATGTTATTTTGTTTCCAAATTAACATTTCACATGCTTTACGATACAATCAATATATTGTTGAGATAAGAAATAAGGATATGCATATTTATTCACATTTTGGATCAAATAGTAACCGCAAGGACGAACTTCCTCCTCTTTATGTTCAGGGGGCGGACCTAGTAAGTGAGTTTCGAGTGCTCTAGCAGCCATTGACTTCGAATCTTTCAGAAAGGTCCTCACCTTTCATAAAAGTCACAACTTTCCATAAAAGTCACAACTTTTCATAAAATTCACAAATTTTCATAAAAGTCGCAAATTTTCATAAAAGTCGCAACTTTTCATCAAAGTCGCAACATTTCGTAAAAGTTACAACTCTTCATAAAAACCGCAACTCTTCATTTTCCTTTCACACCTTTTTAAAACCCAACATCTAGCACTGGACAAATAGTTATCTAACGGGTACTAAAATAAGTACAAAAAATGTATATGTACATATATAATATTAAAACTTTTACTTTATCAAACTAATTTGACTAACTCTCTTGATGATCTTGGCCACCATATTGAACATTTTCTGAGGAAAGAGAATTAAAGAACTCTGACCAATTTTTTTTGATTAATTTACTACAACCGAACTTTTCTTTTCATATGATGATATTTTTCTTGGCATAAAATAAAATTTTGAAGAATATATCTATAATCTTTATCAAAGTGATTACAAATTATGACATCACTTTTTCTAAATGATTATTAACCATACGTTGATTAACCAAATTTCAACGAAAGAAAACATTAAAAGGAAGAATATATATTGATTAAAAAAATAGGAGAAAATAAAAATGTGTAGTTAACAATTTTATAGAGGATTGTTATTTATTGATGGATTAAATCATGGAAAATTTGGTAAAAGATAGTTGAGGAGACTTTTTCTGTATCATCTCTTTTGATTGTTAACTAAATGATGATGAACCAAAGGAAAATATTTAAAAGGAAAAAGATATATTGATTAAAAAATAGAATAATGTGAAAATAAAAATTAGTAGCTAACAACTTTATGGAAGATTGTTATTTATAGATGGATTAAATCATGAAAAATTTGGTTAAAGGAGGCTGGTCAGTTGGAATGGTATATAAGTAGAGAATGCAAATAGATAGATATTTTTATTAACTCATAAAACATAATTGGATATAGCAAATATGTTAATTTATTTAATTATTAAATGCATATTTTTTAGTTAGAAAATGAAGGAAAAGATTAAAAAAAGGAAAAAAAAGATAAATATAAATGGAGGCCACAGAGAGGTGTGATATCTCTTTGTCTACATTTAGATTTATTTTATATATATATAGATTGAAATTATACTATTTATGGTAGTTTACTAAATCGACAAGTTCTTGTTACCCTTCAGTACTTGAAGGTGATGAGAGACTTTATCAATGGTGAATATTACAATGTGGGAATTGAATCCTACCAATAAGATGAGAGTTTAGCTGAACCACTAAGATTCTCCTATTTGTTGCAACAATTACATTTCAGTACGCTTACTTTTACCTTAAGGTGATGAGTCCTTATGTATCGAGGATAAAGATTATTCTATTGCTATCATGTATTTTCTTTTCGGATTTTGTATGTAATTTATGGTTTACGTCCCAATCACTCCCTTATGATGTAATTTATAGCTTTGAGACTTATGTTAGACTTCTGCTACAATTTGTAAAACTCTTTTATTTGAAATAATACCTTTAAAACTCTTTGTTCTATTATCTTTGATGAAGTATGCTCAATGAGTTTTGCAGGACCTTGCTGGGTCTTGTATGTCATGTCACGTCTAGGGTGTATTTGGGGTCATGACCTACTTTTGGCCTGAACTCTTCTGTATCATCCCTAGCTAAAAAGTAGAGGGTTGAATAATTCTTCAGACTTCTTTAGTTACAAGCAAAGTTGAATAATTGTTTCTAAAAATTTAAAATGTTTTCAATCTATTTTGTAGGAAATTTTACTATTTATAGGGTAAAAGTACCTCAAAAATGTTTTGAATAATTCTGTATTGTTATAAAAATATTGAATCTATTCTCCTCCGCCACGTTTCTCCCTTCCTCTTCTTCCACTTCCACTTCATCTTTTTCTTCCTATTCATATTCCTCTGCATCATTCACCTCCTTCTCGTCTTATTCTTGTTCCTCTTATTCTAATTCTTCCCGTTCCCCTCCCCCTCCTCCTTATTCATTGTCCCCTTCTTCTTGTTCATCGTCTTTTTCTTCTCCTCCCCATTCTTCTCCTTAATTTTCTTCTGTTTATTCTCCTTTTCCTTATTCTCCTTCGTTATTCAACATAACAAGTCTTTACTTCAAAGTAATTATTAATTGTTAAAAGGATAATAAGTTTGATTAATAATTTGATATAATTTATCTCATTTTCAATTTTATCTATTTTGAATTATTTCAAGCAAATGTATTTTGCTAAAGTACAAATGACTTGTTTCTTCAAACCCACTTTCAGCCCAAATATTATCCAATCAGACTATATCATTCATAAAACCCGGGCCCAAATCCCTCAAATAAATACCTCTATTCTTTTTCTTTTATTTATCATTTTTTTCTTTCCCAAATGAACTGGAAACCCTAGCAGCCCCTGTCCTTGCAAAATGTAAACCCCCCAAAACATCACCGGATTTTGAGCTCAATCCGTCAAGTTTTCTACCTCAAAAACATCACCATGTCCCTAAAATTATTCTAGGGGAATATAGCCCCACCCATGTAACCTTTTGTTCAAGATATTTTTTCTCCTATTTTTCTTCATTTATCTGTTCAAAGATCAATAATTCAAATTTTGGATCCCCAATTTTGTTGAGATTATCCCCCCTTCTTTGCTTTTCAAATATTCTTTAGGCGTCAATTTATTGGTTATAAATGAAGCCTAAATTGTATTTACTTAAGGGGAAATGTAGTGAAAAAAATTCCCAAGTGTTAAAGCTCTTCATTTGTAAAATATCTATGTTGTACAAGTTTTTCTCAAAGCAAACAATCATTTTTCAATCATTGCCATTAGATGCAGAAGATAATTCAAGGTTACTTCTCGATCATTTTCTTTTGTCTTTTCAATTTCAAATTTGTACTAAACTTATCATCTCAATTCATTGTTCCTTAAAAATTTATATTCACCAAGATCCTTTATTTGATTTTTGACGCGATCTGCTATTTTTTAGTATGTTACATGTCATGTAGTAAGTTATCTTCTATGTTTAAAAATTAAAACGGAATTTGTTAAGACTAATGTTTAGTTTCTTTTTGCTCCGAGTTTGACATACATTTCAAGTTGGAATAAAAATTTCTTTGTATTTTAAATACAATAAATTTGATACAAATAGTATTTTGTCAAACATATTATTTATGTCAATATTCTACTTATCTTTTGGTTATTTGATTTGATGCATGCTTGTAATTGGTTGGAATTTTAATTGAATGACTTGTATTAACTCAAAATCTACTAACTATTTACCTTGATTTTACTTTTTTAACAATATGAGAAACTCAATTCAAATCAAGTTTTTACGCTTTAGTGTTTCCTTTTAGTGTAAATTTAAGAACTATTTGATATTGCATCATTCATGGAGGTACCAACTCCTTTTAAATTCATGATTTATAAGAAGATGAGTTATAATTATTTTGTCACTATTGATCTTACCATTGAAAAAATATTTAAAAATTAACAAATGAGTATGATATTTCGAGTAATTTTGTTACTAAAAATAGATCCAAAACCAGAATGACATGCATTTGTATTGTTTGAGTTTATTTTGGAGCCTATTTTAGTTTAAAAAAACACTAATTTTTATTTATTTATTAGTAGTAAAGGCCTACTTGTATTTAACAATAATTTTTAGTATTTTATTTGTAGTATACCTAGGACTCTTGTAATAAATCTATGATTTGTATTCTCTAGTGTAATCAACTCCTACAAGTAGGAGCTTGTACTAGATAGAGATATAATTATGTAATATATTTGTTGATTTTATTGTTTAGTTATCATCTGGAAGTTATGGAGGCTGCATTAAGGTAGAGGACCATGATTTCATGGAGACTAGTTCTTTGAAGACACTTATATCAATATTGATTCATAAAAGCTTTGCTTTTAAGAAGCTTTTTCCCTATAGAACTATTCTTGGTTCCAACAGTTCTTTTGGTGACTCAGGTTTGTAGATTTTATTCCTTTTTATTTAATTCAAAGTATAATAACAGCTGACAATTCTCCATCATTAATCTATGTGAACATTTAAGTCCTAAATTGATGTGAAATAGGAGAACTAGTTCCTTTTATATGGTTCACATTTATTCAAGTGATGGTTTTCTTAACTTCGTAAGAAATTATTGAAAATATTCAGAAAATTCGAATTAACTATGCATTATGAAAAAAATTTCATCAAAGAAAAAGTAATATTTCAGTTCATTAGTTTTACTTTAACTACTTACATTCTTCTGATTGATGAAAACATAAATGTTCTTCCTATTTAAGGAGTATCATTTGTGAACTAAAGATATAGAAGAGAAACAAAAATCTCTCTTTCATTTAATCTCTTTCACCTATTCATGTATTGACTTAAATATTTTTCTTCCTATTGTGAATATCTAGACAACTGTTTTTGTGCAACTCCAAACTTCCAACCACGAGTACACGTGTTTGGAAGATCTGTAGAATCTTGGAGAGTGACTCGACTTAACCAATTACTTATCGTTTATTTGATTTATTTGTTAATAAAATATTTTCTTAGAAAATATATGTTAGTTCTAGAAAAAATAGTGTTGATGATGCATGAAAGATAAAATATGGTGGTCAATATATTAAGTTTCAAATGGTGACTTAAGCTAATCATGGAATAAATTTTTGAATATGAGAACTTGACTGTTGATGTTCTCAACAAGGGTACGAAGATGTTTGAGAGTTTTTAGGCTCATGTGTTGTGCTTGAAAAATGTCCACAAACTTGGAGTAATTATAGATATTCACTGAAATATAAGAAAATAAAATTATCTCCCTAAAAACTTATTGGTCACATGATAACTGAAGAGGCGAACTGTCTAAAAAATAAGATGAAAGGTTTTTACTTAATTCTTCCATAGATTCTTATTGAATTTTCTTGTACTGCTATGAATGACATGTTCAAATGCAAACTGAAGAATTTCTTTAAAGAGGGACATATAAAAAAAGAATTACTTTAACAAGTCAAAGATTCAAATTCAAAAATGTAAGGATCCTTTCTTTGTCTACAAAATATTTGTCATAATGCTAGCTATTCATAAGTAAGACAAGGATAGAACTTACGGTAAGAAAGACAAGCTGATGGTCAAGCTCATCTTGGTGAGGCTAATGAAGTGATTATTATTGTAGTTGTTCTAGTGGCTAACATTATTAATTGGTGTTGGACACAGACTTTTCGATGCATTTTTGTGCCAACAAAGAGTTATTCCATGACTTTATGGAGTCAACTAATGACAATTGTGTTTACATGGGTTATTTACTACATGAATAATGGATAAAGGAAATTTTTTACATAATGTAACTTCAGAAAAAACTTTAGCGTTGAATAATGTTTTGTATGTACTTTACCTGCAGAGACATAGTTTTTGGAGTACTTCTTAATAAAGTAGGCCTTTAAATATTTTTAAAGGTGATAAAATAATTATTTTTCAGGGAGGAGTCTTTATTGGGAAGGAATATCTTAGTGGACAATTATTTGTATTGAACAATGTTCTATAGATTGTCAATCATGCTAGCATTTCAAATTCTACTATATTGTTAAGTCTATTAATTTGTGTGATGGTAGAGTATGTCATGTTAGTATTGCTTTTATCAAAAGACTTAGAAAAATAGAATTAATTTCTATGATAAAAATTGATGATTTTTCAAAAACCATGTATATGTAAAAGCAAAACATGTAAGGAAACCTTTGAAATCTATTATTAGTACAAAAATACAAATTTTTGAACGAATATATTCAAATTCAACAAACTTCAAGAATACTGTTTGAAAAAGTGAAAAAAGTATTAATTTTCAAGATACACTAAGGTATATAGTCTAATATCTATATATGAGGTTGAAAGTATGTTCTTCAAATTCGAAGTAGAAAATAAATTAGACAGGAAAATCAAGATTTTTCTATCTGGTAGGGGTACTAAAAATATAATACGAAAACTATGGAGTATATTTGTGAGAAAAGTGATATTATAGATGAGCTTAGTACTCATTATATTCCAAAAAATGGTGTAGCTGAACAAATATATAAAATCCTTGACGAAATGATAAATTCAATGCTTTTAAGCTCGGGTCTACCAAACAACAGTAGGGGGAAGCTTTCTTATTTGCATGTTATATTCTTTATGGTCCCTCATAAAACGTTAGACAGGGCCTGATATATGCTTTGGAAAGGGTTTTCTCCTAATTGGAAATTTCTGAAAGTTTTGAGGTCTATGGCTAAGGTAAGGCAACCTGATTTTAAATGAGTTAATATAGGTTGTAAGACTTTTGACATTGTCTTTATTGGTTATGTGATAAGATTGCTGCATAGATATTTTTGTTTTTAAAATAGTTTTTCTATTTGTGAATCTTGAGTTGTTGAATTTTAAGCAAATTTCCTTTGAAAAATAATGTGTTTAGTGGTATGTGAAATGATGCTTCTACATTTATGTTTGTTGATCCTTATGTTGTTTCTTCTTATGAAGTTATTTCTAAGAAGCATTAAATGAACTTACAAGGAGTAAAAGATGTAGAATTTACTCCAACTTTGTCATGATTTTATCACTGTATTTTTGACTGAAAATTTTGGCATATGATTTAGTGTCTGTCTAGTTTATAGAACCTAAATCTTATGATGAGGCAATGAGATTACCATATGTGATATTTCGAAAAGAAGATATTAAAAATGAATTAAACTCTATAGTATGAGATCAATATATTTGATATTTTGAAAAGAATGTGTTAAAAATAAAATAAACTTTATACTTTCGAATCACACTTCCAACTTGTCTGATTTGCCTAAAGGTTGTAAATTCATATGTAGCAAGTGGACCTATAAGAAGAAATTGAGACCCCAAGCTACAATTGATAAATATAAGGCTAGAATTTTGATGAGGAGTTTTAACGAAAAGAAAGATGTTGATTATTTTGATATTTATTGTCCTGTGACAAAAATAATGATCGTTAGGAGTCTTATTGCTTTTTCCACTTTTCATGGTTTAGTGATAAAATGGATGTCAAAACAGTATTTTTAAATGGTTACTTAGTTGAATAGTTATATTTAACTCAACCCAAAGGTTTTATGGTTGCAGGAGAAGATAATTAAATGTTCAAGTTGAGTAAATCCTTGTATGAAGTAAACTAGACACCTAAGCAGCGGTATGGAAAGTATAATATCACATTAGTGGATAGTGATTTTCTTGTCAATTAATCTTATACCTATGATTATTCCAAAATGAAAGGCTAAAATTGCGTGATTATATGTATATGACTTGTTAATTGTTGTCCAAAAATGAATTTTATTGATGAAACTAAGAACATTTTGTCTACTAAGTTTCAAATGGAAAATCATTATGCAGTAGATGTAATTTTAGGAATCAAAATTAAAAGAAATATTGACGATTTCTCTTTGTGTCAGTCTCATTACATTAAAATATTTTTTTAAAAAAATAATAATTTTGATGTAGTTTAGGGAGATCTCTTCATATCCTAGCATTCACTTGTAATAGTATAAAGATTCTAGTGTTTCTCAAATGAAATATGCTAAAATAATTGGGACTGTAATGCTTACGGTGATCTTTACTTGTCCTGATATAATTTATGTTGTTAGTATATCAAGTAGATATACTTATAATCCTAGTAGTAAACATTAGAAGGATCTTCTTCGCATTAAAAGTGGTGTAAAATCACATTTTTTAGGTTCTGTTGTATCTGTGCAGTGACATATGTCCAAGTGCAGTTAACATTTCTAGTGCACACCCTTGACTAAAGAGATGTGTCTCTTCACCGTGCATTAATGTGTTGTACGCACTTCAATTGATGCAGCCACGAGAAATATTGTGGATTTATTTTTTTGTCCAAAATAAAAATTTCTCAATGGATATATTTGAAAAAGTCCAACTTGAGTCGAATGACCGACACGGTAAAACAAGAGTTGAAATGTTCTTAACCCCTTTAAAAAAATATATTTACTTTTATATTTAATCATTTAAAAGTTCTTTTCTTCCAACAATGTGGAAAAAATTAACATTTTTAGCAAAACAGTCTTTAACGAAGAAAATAAAAGGTAGAGTAGCACTTTTGATAAGACCATTAGGCGAAGGAAATTCATAAAATAAATAGGTAACTTTCATGTCAAATTCATGAAGTTTATGCAACAAATGCATGGATGAGGTAATATACCTCAATAATATACTAGAATTTCTTCTAATGTTGTTATTCCCCGAAACTTATGGCCACACAAATCCGTTCCGTCTAAAATTCTAGGTTGTAATACTGAACTGGTGCACTAATATCTCGAGGATCCTCTTTAGTTCATGTGCGCAAGCTATGTCTTTAAAAATTAAAGATATCCTTTTCAATACAACTTTCTTGATTCATCTCTCTTTTGTATCCTATCAAAGACATCACAGCCTATTCTGCCGTCATCAACCCACACTTGATTATAAGAAAATCATATATATTTTGTTTCTAATTAATATTTCACATGCTTTATGATACAACCAATATATTGTTTAGATAAGAAATAAGTATATGCATATTTATTTACCTTTTTGATCAAATAGTAACCACAAGGATGAACTTCCTCCCCTTTAAGTTCCCAAACATTAGTGGTCCATGGTGTGACAATTGCATCACTAAGATTGTAGCTAATGAAATTACATGACATAAAATTGGTTTGCATTTGTGAACACTAGCTCTACTAATTTTATGTTGCTAGAGAGCGCATGTGTGCTGACATATCACCAATTTCCTTTTATACACTTTCATCAGCTATAATCTTACGAATGTAATTCAACTGCTTATGTTTGGGAGCTACAAGAACAGGAAGTTTCTCCTTACGGTTATTGGTTGACCCAAAAGGTGAACAAAGTTTTATGTCCTTTATCATCTTAAGAACATATCAACTACATATCAAAGTAAGCAAAATGTTAATCAGTATAAAAATAAGGGGAAACCCATTGGTGACTTGCAAACTTGGCACAAAATTCCACTTAGACACTTTAATTGAACTTTGTTCATTTTAAAAAACCTTATGTAGGGCTACACATTGTCATTTAGACACTTTTGGCTGACTCAACATAGTAATTGTGTAACACGTATTTTATGCCCATTTGAGAAGCCTTTTTGGTGAGTTTTCTCTCTTTCTTCTTCTTCCTCACTGTTTCTCTCTGCAATCTTTCACCACTCTCCATTGACTATTTTTTTTACTCCTTCCCACTCGCTCATTTTCTCTGCAACCATAGACCATCCCTCATCCCCAACCAAATTTTGAGAAAATATATTATTTTAGTTGGGCATGTATTCTACTTAGTTTTTTTTGTTATTCCCTGAAAATCTAATTTAATTTTTTAAGCATAATTCAATACAAATTTAAAATACACAAAAAAATATTTTTCCACTTCTTTTGCACTATATCCACTAGAGAAGACATAAATAATGAAATTATTTAATTGATAATTATCGGATCCTCTCCGACTACAATGGAAATAAATATTTCAAAAAAGTTAGTTCTTTTATTTGTATCTCCTACTACATTGTAATGAGTATTCGTAAAAGAAAAAATACATTATAGAAAATAAAAAAAAGATGGAGGAAATGGGTTGGGATCGAAGAGATTAAACATAGAAAATGGATGAGAGGAAATTATTTTTTTTTAAAAAAATGCAGTGAAATTACTTAGAAGAAAAAAAAATAATTTCAAGGCACAAAATAAGAAAAATGAAATTACTGAGATTAGTGAAAGATTATTTGTTCTTAGTGGGGTTAAAAAAGAAGAAGATGAAGAAATGGGGTCTAGGGCATGGGATTACAGACCGAGTGAAAAAAAATGAATAAAAAGTGATTCTTTTTTCTTTTAAGAAAAAAGTTTACTTGTCACTTAAAGATTTGTCTATTTTTCCAGCAAAAGCATTAGTCAACACACGCTTTACTTAGATCTGGGAATATAAATAAAGCGTCAAAATGACACAGTAAATGACTATTACAGGTGTTCAAAATGAACATAGAACAATTAAAGTGTGTATGTGATATTTCATGCAAACTTTTACGGGACACTGATGTGTTAACCCTAAAAATAATGTTCAGGTTGGATATAATCATGTGTGAGTTGTTGAAATCGGAATAAGCCATTTTTCTTTGATGCTATACCCAAAAAAGATAAACTAAGATAGATTGCACTATACATGATACCTTTATTTTTGAAATACATAACTTGTGCACATAATGACTAAAGATATTTCAAGAGTGATCAATGTCCCAATTTCACATTTTAGCCTAGAATTATTAGCTAGATTACATATATATGCCCATAAATTTAAGGGATTGACAATATCAAAGGAAATTGCAATACATTTGTGTGGTAAAGTTTCCTTCTTCACCAAGTCTTTGGATGACAACAATGAACTTTCAATGAACATCCACCTCAATTTTAAGCATTACCTTTGCCTAAACATCGCTCTGGATTTTGTTTTCATTTATGCTTTTTCTACCTTACTTCCTCCTCAGTCTATTTAGAAGGTTTCACCATTCACTAGAAAGTAGATTTACAAATAAGAAAAAATCCACCTTAGTTCCGTTCTTCAACACAAGAAGTATATTAAAAAAATGACTGAAACACTTAGCATATGCCACAAACAGTAACTAGGATCTTCAGTATCAATCTTGAACTCTCTTTATGATTGCAAAAAGATAGGGAGAAGATTTTCTCACAATAAGATGCTAGCGTAAATGCAGAACGTGTATTATAAGCATTGTCTTATAATCCCGTTCTCTACATCTGTGCTGGCATCTTGTTGTGAGAAAACCGTGTCCCAATCTTTTGTGTAACCACATAAAGAGTTAGGAATTGTTACTGAGCCAATTACTACTTTCGGTATGTGATTGGCATGCAGTCCTTTATTTCAAATATGTACTGTCATATTGGTTGTGTATGTGAATGAATTGAGATTAATTTAGTTATTTTTATAAATTTGTTTTCGAGTGAACCATTGAACCTCCTAAACAAACTTAAGAGGAAGAGAGGTAGAAAAGGCATAAATGAACAAAGAGAGACTTCAAAATTTCATCCCTTGGAGACTGAACTCTCTAGCCTTAAGGTATAAAACTATCAAACCTTAGGCAATTCTATACTACGTTTCCCCTCTGAGGCAAGACCACTAAAAAATTAAAACTTGACTATTTGGGTTCTATAATCGCATGAGGCATAACAAGCATACAACTAGTCTATACCTAAATAATATAAAAATCCATCATATCTATTCAACTATGTAAGTTGTGGGTTCTTTATAATAAATAGAGATAGCACAATTTTATCGTCTCTCTTTGTTCATTTGCGTTTTTTTATCTCTCTTCCTCCATTGTTTGCTTAGGAGGTTCAATGATTCATAAGAAAAAAATATACAAAAATGACAAAATGCATCTCAAGCCATCTTAGACACGTCTTAATATCATATGGTCAAGACCCTTTACAATAAAAGACACATACTAACTCTTAAACAATGTATTAAATGAAAGAAACTAAAAGAAACATAGTTCATGTCCTCAAACATATGAGGACATATAAATCTTGAGAGAATAAACTTCCCAAGCTTCACCTTGTAAGAACATTCACTTGTCTGCCACCTATACTTGTAGAAATATAGAAAAATAAGGAGTTAGTACAAACATTGTACTAAGAATGGTATTATGCAAAAACATGCTAAAAAGGACATTGTAGTTGAAAAATAATTTTCATGCTATTTTAGTAAAACTTTAATGAATCAAGTTTACAAAGCATCATTTCATATACAACTAGAACTTCCATAAAACCTCAACATTTAGTCACATTCATCAAGTAATCCATTTTTATCATTTAGACATTCCTATCCAAAGTTATCCTAAGTCTCACCTAGGTAAGACATAAAGAGACAGCCCATACAACCTCTTCATTACACACCTAAGGATCCTTAAGACTACCAAAGATAAGCATGCTCCATTTCAATTTAACATGTCAACACTCATTACTTAAAACACTAAAGGAAACATACATATCTTTAGCACCTTCACATAAAGACCATCCTCCAAGACAACCCCCAAGTTACACTTAGTGCAATGTGAAAGTAGCATCCCGTACTACTACTCCCACCATGGTGTTCCTTGAGAATCACCATAGACTAGGCACATCACATTCATCATTTACATAGGTTTCATTACTTTAGTCATAAGATCAACACGCTTCATTAACATTAAACATAAAGTCAACTTACATCATTAACATTATATAGTAAACCATTCATAAATTTTCATATAAGGACACACTAAAACTTCCTTCAAATGTCTACTTGTGCGAAGGATAAATAGCCTCTCATTCCACAACCTACCCTCAG